CTACCTGTTGGATATGTATAAGAGGTTTACGGCCTTGCGAAAGACAGGAAACCACTGGATGGCAATTTTGGATCAAACTCATGAGTGGTAGCACTTACCAGATCAGACACATGGCTTCTCCCATTGCGGGACAGTAAAACCAAAATGTCTGCAAGTTAGAAATGAGAAGTGTGGGAAATCCAGCCCCTTATTGTCGGCAGCGTTTCTTTATCTTAGGAATAATGTGCTCTCTAAGAGTCAACGTATTTAAGCTTCGTTTGACTATTGTGGATTGATATTACAATCATTTAATCAGTGGAGAAGAAAACCGGAAAGTGTGGAATTAGAGATGGAGGAATCAGGATTCGTCACTGACTATGTTGAGCTACCGAACACTTTTGTAGAGATTCATCATATGTGCTGCAAACACCAGTTTCTGATAATTGAGCATGGCCAGATGATCATCAGACTGTAGAAATTGAGGAATTTGAACGTCTCCTTCATCATATTTTCTACCAAAATTCAATCAAATTTGTGTAATTCGCTTCACATTTATACTTTGCTTTGAAAGAACTTGGAGCGCAAACATTACATGGAGCAGAGATGTAAGGCGAAGCGTATAGAGACGACGAGAAGGGGAGAAAAGGCGACACATCTGAGTAGGCAATTGAGTATCAAAGGAAGCAAGGAGATGGTTGTAGAAATGGCAATCGCGAGTTGGCCATTTTCGTATCCGTGGAAGTAGGCACCGTGGACTGGTGTCATATAGGTTCCACAACGTGGTGAGAAGTGTGCATGGTCATTATGGGTAGTGCCACAATGTAGGACGCCGTATGCATGGTCGTCTGTGGTGATACCGCAATGTGGGAAACCGTGGGGATGGTCGTATCCGTGGTGGTAGAGGAGCCAACTGACACTAAACAACCTCTCCTACCTGTTGGATATGTATAAGAGGTTTACGGCCTTGCGAAAGACAGGAAACCACTGGATGGCAATTTTGGATCAAACTCATGAGTGGTAGCACTTACCAGATCAGACACATGGCTTCTCCCATTGCGGGACAGTAAAACCAAAATGTCTGCAAGTTAGAAATGAGAAGTGTGGGAAATCCAGCCCCTTATTGTCGGCAGCGTTTCTTTATCTTAGGAATAATGTGCTCTCTAAGAGTCAACGTATTTAAGCTTCGTTTGACTATTGTGGATTGATATTACAATCATTTAATCAGTGGAGAAGAAAACCGGAAAGTGTGGAATTAGAGATGGAGGAATCAGGATTCGTCACTGACTATGTTGAGCTACCGAACACTTTTGTAGAGATTCATCATATGTGCTGCAAACACCAGTTTCTGATAATTGAGCATGGCCAGATGATCATCAGACTGTAGAAATTGAGGAATTTGAACGTCTCCTTCATCATATTTTCTACCAAAATTCAATCAAATTTGTGTAATTCGCTTCACATTTATACTTTGCTTTGAAAGAACTTGGAGCGCAAACATTACATGGAGCAGAGATGTAAGGCGAAGCGTATAGAGACGACGAGAAGGGGAGAAAAGGCGACACATCTGAGTAGGCAATTGAGTATCAAAGGAAGCAAGGAGATGGTTGTAGAAATGGCAATCGCGAGTTGGCCATTTTCGTATCCGTGGAAGTAGGCACCGTGGACTGGTGTCATATAGGTTCCACAACGTGGTGAGAAGTGTGCATGGTCATTATGGGTAGTGCCACAATGTAGGACGCCGTATGCATGGTCGTCTGTGGTGATACCGCAATGTGGGAAACCGTGGGGATGGTCGTATCCGTGGTGGTAGAGGAGCCAACTGACACTAAACAACCTCTCCTTAGCTAATTTTCTGCTATAACCCGAACTTTATAACACTAGTGCTGATTGTTTCTAGCAATATCTTAATAAAAGACTATGCACCAGATACTGCTGTGCTTTTCACATTACTAAGCAGCAATTATGTGGC